TTTTTGCCAGATATATCAAGTGTAGCAAACTCAAGTTTTGTGATATTTGTTATTTGATTAACTACACAATAAGGCAAAAAGAAATACATTTAGTTTCGAAAAAAATGAGTAAATATCAAGTAATCAATATCAACATGACATAAGTTACGTATTTTCTTTTAGGGATAAACACTAATTTAAAATAATATGTTCATCGAAACATGTGCTAATTTGGGAGCAAGTTGTATTTTACTATTGCATCTTCAAGAGAAATATGTCAATATCCTTCCGGAATATTGAAAATTATAATTTATGCTCTTCAGGAGCAAGAAATATTCTTCAAAAATATTAATTATAATGTTGCGCTATTTCGGGAGCAACAAGAAGTTTATACAGGAATAAAAAAATTTATTCATGAAATTAAGAATAAAAAGAGTATTCATGATTTAAGTATGATTAAATATCACTACTACAGCTGAAGATTTGTACAGAATTTAAAGGCATGATTAATTAACCAAAATTAAAGCATAAAGAGAAAAAAAACTAGGTACACCTAATGATTGAGGCGTCAGAACTAAGAGTTAGGGTAAACATGTATATATAATTAAGAGAAATTGAATTAGCAAAAGTAGGGTGTACAAGAAACAAATTGTTGTGGATTGGATGTAATCATTACGGCACAAGCATTATTTCACATGCATATGATTCTTAGCAACTAATGAAGTGAATTTGTTATATGATTTCGGTACATGATTCTGGCATATGCATATATAAAATTCACGTATTACCAAATTAATTTTGGTACACATGATAAATGATTACACTTTAAAAAAATTACTACCTTCACTGGACTTAAGTTTTCGTGCTGATAACGTGTTGTGAAAAGAGAGAAAAAAGAAGAGAAAATAAAAGTCAATAGACGTGTATGTATTATAATGAGAATCAAAACTTTATATTTATAGGGAAAGATTAGATATACACATGGTAATAATTTCTAGGGTTATAAGGGTACAATTGTCATTCACCAATAACTTACCATTTACAACAATTACATATTTATCTAGACAATATATTTTTCACACTTATTTTTAAAGAAAAAAATTGATATTTATTAAAACTCATTTTTATATAATTAGAAAGAAAAAAAAAGCATATTCTGTGTAGTAGGAAAATTCAAATAGTCCATTTGACATAATTTCTTTCCAACAAAAGATACATTTTTTATTTGAGCTCTTTTCTGTAATTTTCCCCAATACACTTCAGTTCCTGAAAAATGAAAATTTTGTCGTTTGACCCAAAACTTTGCAAACACTTTCAATAAGTAGTAGAGTATAATTAGAAAGTTTTGTTAAGTGATAAATTCTACATCGGTTAAATATCAAAATATAGATCAACATATAATAGTTTGAACTAACATTTTAACATAAAACTCCAAATTTTAAATATAATATTAGAGCGTGCAAAGGTTTGGAGTAAAGTGTCATCCTACCTATTTATTAAAAAATGTGCCCAGCTTTAATGGAGAAAAAATAATCTCTCTTACACGTGAAGGGCATTGAAGATAATATTTAAATGAGTAAATTTGATCATGTCTAACATCTTGACTTTTATATCAAATACTTCAATATGGCACTAGAGTACATTAAGTTCAAATAAGCAGTTCAATCCAATTAATATTTAAAATAAAAACACAGATTTCAAGATTAGACCTCTCAAACAATCGGTCATCTTGCGAGTGGAGTGCATGTTAAAAGATAAATCTCACATAAGTTAAATACTGAAATAAAGACTTCTTGACAAGGTTGATTTTTAACATGAAGTTTTAATAATATTTGAAATCTATTAGTGTTTGCTTGACCTCACGATATGGATTTTTAAAGGCACAGCTTTAGCTTCAATCTCACCAACATACTCACAACCAAGGTAATGGATGTGGATTATGCTGTGTACATTATAAAATTTCCATTCGATATAATTTCTTTGCTGAAAATTTTGACAAAGAGTCTCCGTCAAGAAGTAACTAGTATGAATGATTCTCTCTTTTGGGGCTTCACAAAAACAAAGATCACATGGCTTCTTTTATATATGCTAATTACTCAATAACATGGAGCTGGAGAAATGTTCTCATAAATGCCAATGTCCATTCCATTGTAAGCAATAGGAGCATACATCCACGTATCATCAGAGCTCAATAACTGCAAAGAATAGGTAAATATTTAGTGGAAGTATCCTTGCAAATTTGACTTGGAAAAACAATTATTAATTTCCTTCAGTAGTTAATGGACAATATCTTTTAAGAAAAAGATACTAAATCTTTCCCTTTTATTGTTCAAGTCTGTCAAATATACCTAAAATTCTTTGGTGACATTAAGAAAGATGATTACTGATAAATTTTTGCCCATACCTTAATTTGAAGCTGTAAAAACTTGACATAATTGACGGCCTCTTCGAGCATTGTACTAATGTCAACCTGATAGAGTGCAGTCCATTTTAAAAACACAATTATGTCTAATTTTAAAATATTCCTTGATTCTAGCACAGCATTTGGTAGAATTGATTAGTATGAGTTAATGTTTTACCTTTGTTCCATTTGGGATAAGATTCTGCAAGATTCTCAATCTCTCGTTAATCCTTTCTCTTCTTCTCTGAAAAATTCCATAAAATCATCTTAGACACATACAAGCTCGAATGACCCCTGAAAATGCATATAAAGCCTATTGGAGTCTGGTCATATTTTATCCATATGTACCCTTGCATAAAGGCTTTGGGGATCAGTTGCAGAACCCCTACTAGCTCTTGCTTTTCCATTTGATTTCACTGTGGCTGAGCCTTTGGATTCTGAATTTCGCCCTCCATTGAGTTCTTGAGAACCATTACAATCATCCTCACAGCTGTAACTACTAGAACTCCTTCCACTTTCCCTACCATTAGGCTCTACTAGTTCATCAATACTGTTTTGAATAATATTCTTGTTCTTCGTCTGAGCAATCCGCGGTTTGTTTCTTGATTCCTGCATTTATAATTAATCAATAAGAAACCATTAACAAATATAAATAGAAAATATAAAGGGAGTGGTCTTAGTAGCATTCATTTTCCTCACATCTCTAGAAACCCCAGATTTCTTCTTGGAAAAAATTTCCTCCAATGTTTCTTCTGGTGTCTCAGACTTCCTCTTGAACTGCATTTCCTTAACAGAATCACCAATTTCTGCAGGCTGACCTTTTGCCTTCCCCATTTGGCCACTTCCCATATCTTCTTTAATAAACAAAATGTCTTCAACCACATTATCTTCAGGAAAACTGGCCGGAAATTTTTGTTCATTTTTGCAGCCCATCATTCAAAAACGGGTGGACTGATCAGGAAAATTAACAACATTTTCTTGATTTGGTAAAAATGCTTTGTCAATTTCAGTACTGCTATTCCTATTTTCTTGAGAAACATAAGGGAAGTTAGTCGTATCAAGAGTATGATCAAAAGTAAAGAAAACAGTATCATCAACTCCAGCAGCCAGTTTTTCTTCTGTATTATCCAAGAAATTTGATGGGAGTTCGGAGCTCAGCCCGTTTACGACTTGATTCGAAAACAACTCACTGCCATGCAAATGCAGCATGAGATCAAAATCTTCACTGGAAAACTTTTCGCTCAGTGATTCCCATTCTTCATAAAAAAAGGCTCCAACAGGCTCCATTTTTCTCTTCTTTTTTGTGGGAATTTCTCTAAAGAAGAATGAGGAGAAGTGTTGTTGTTATACTAATACATGCTTGGAATTGCAGAAATTTCGATTGGATATTTATACACAATGGAGTAAGGATATTTAATTATATGATAGTAGGGATTAACTTTTTTTTTGGATTTATTAATTATTTTGTAGTATACCATTAAATGGTTTGGTACTAATACTTCGCTAACAACCCAAACGTGTCCAATGAGGGGACAAAAACCTGGTGCAACTCTCAAGAGGGACCAAAATACATGCAATAATTATGGCTTAAATTTATTTTTTTCTTGGCATGGGCTCAAACCACCGTAGAGCATCTCCAATATTGCTTCTAGAGAATATTTGCTACATAAGCAATATAAATGGTGTTTAAAAAAAATTTCACTGCTGTCAAACTAATATGGAAAAGAAAAAAAATATACATTATGAATAACTCCGTCTAAAAATTCAGAACATCTGTTACACAAAGTGACTCAATAATATATAAATATTTTCTATGCATCATTACATAAACAGAGCCCCGTCCCATTAAATATTTTTAGTGCAAAAAAAAATCTTGTAAATTTTTTTTTTTATGTCTAAATTTATTTTTTCCTACATGTTAACCCTACTTGTAATTCGATCCTGGATCCGTCTCTGCATTATTATATGTGATTTTGTTTTTATTTTATGAAAAGAGAAGACAGAGAGACAGTAATTGTTATAGTTGCATACTAGATACCAATTTTAGCTTAATTAACTATTTATTTATTAAGAGTATACCATATTTTTTTCAACTTATATAATATTTAGATGACTATTCATAAAATATATTGGAAATGCTCTTAGACTTGCTGAACTTGCTATTAAAATTGATGAAGGAATATTAGATGTCTTGTTAAATAATTTGTTTGTGACTTAGGCAAAGCGCCATTAGGTCTATGATGTGGATAAATCGAGCTCGGTGTCAAATGGCTATGTTGTGACTCAAATTTCATGTCATTTGAAAAACTAATTTATAGAAGAAGCCTAGATAATTTTTATTTGAAAGTCCAGATAGATAAGGAATCAAATTTCATCATGAATTTTGGAAAAGAACTTTGAATTGATGAAAAAGTGTTATGAAAACACAAGGGAACAGGGGCACCAATAACACAAGGGAGGCAACAACGTGGGCATCGCGGTACCCCCAGCGTCGACTACGAGGCGCTAGGCCGCCATGTGGGTGGTGCTGCGGCACCATTAGTATGGGAAGAATTTTATTCCCAATAGGTTTTGACGCGATTTTTGTATTCCACTTCATCTATAACTCCAAGATTGGCTCTTATAAATACTCCACGAGATGTGAGCTCTTCATAAGGCTCAACTAACAATAAGATCATTGTTATATACATTGAAAACATGAGAAGATTGTTTAAATTTAGATTGAGAGTATTGGTATATTGAAATTCTTATTTTCCACATAAATTTTGTGTTCTTATGATCCATTATTTTTCATACTGCTCTAATTTTTTGGTCTTTATTATTAGGTTCGATTTTCAACACAGACATCTTAGAACTACCTAATCCCACTCATTTCCGGTGGTCTAGCACTTCATTCGTGAATACAACTTTTAGAAAGGAATGAAGTAGCTCAACTGTAAATAACATGGCCTGAAGCAAGATAGAACTGATTCATGGATGTTAAATGATAATTCAGAGTAGTGAAAAGGAGTAACACTGAAAACTTAAAAACAAATAAAAAAACTTGTACTTTGGAATTGGGAGAACGTGGAATTATTTGTGAAATATTATAAGGTAGAGAACTTCTATTTGGGGGGGGGGGGGGGGGGGG